GCAACCGCTTCTGAATGTAAACTATAAACACAACACAAACCCGAGAAACTTGTATTAAAATTGCGCCGTGAAGAATTTTCCAATTCGCCCAAACTTCGAAACGTTTATACTCTAACTTGGCTATAATTTTCTACATGACAATGAGAGCTTAATCTTTTAGAAGTTTTCGTCGAAGTCATGGCATATAGGAAGTATCAAGAGCAACATTTGGACATATCCTGATATACTCAAGTTTCCCGATTGATTGTTTGTCATTGTTAACAAAATTTAAATTTCACCTATATACTGCATTGCTTTAGCACTTTATATACACCGATTGTTTGCTGAACATGCGAGAAGATGATCACAATATTATTCTACGTAAACATCGTGAAGTTCAACGCTATAGTTTCCAAAATATATCCACGCAAGTAAACAAATTTCAAGTTTCAACCCAAACAATATATTCCAATTCATGTGCAAGGGCTTTCCTCAGCAGCTAATCTCTCAAGAAGGCGGCTTCCAATTGGCTCTAACTTTTTTTAACACTGCCAGATGATTGGCTCCTAAAACAAAGGGAATTGAATATGCAGCTCGGGTAAGCAGACGGTAGTATTTCGTCGCTTGGCGTAAGAACTACAATAGGCCGTTTGCTGCGTCCCGATATCGTTCACTTTCGTAGTGCATGTGGTGAAACTGAAATATTTTTACGGGAACTAGCACTTTCAAAGACGCTGAGTTCAAATCCGAAAAGTTCCCGCTCCATAGGTCTTGCGTTTTCTCACAAACTAGTATTTTATTTTCTCTAATTACACGACTAACTTTTTCTTTGTTCAATGACACGGATGGACGATGACACACTCTTATGTCACTCAAAAGGACTAATTTCTATTAACTAGTCTTCCTTTTAACAAAAGACCGTTTCGCTCGAATCATTTTGAGTTATGTAATCTTATGCGTGTTGAACGTAAACAACATACAGGGTGTATCAAAAAAAGCGCAACCTCGGAATTTCCCAAGAAATCCACATTGTTTTAAAGACAAAAGATTTTAGGCGCCTGGGAATTTAAAATAGCACAACTGTCAAAATTACTGCACACGCGAGTATAAAGCAAAATTTATGCATTTATTTAATGCACAACAACAGTAATATGATCTATTAACAATCCGATTTCAATTCCCAGGGGCCCAAAATCTTTTATGCTTAAGAATTGCAAAGTGATTTCTTAGGAAATTCCGAGGTTGCGTTTTTTTTTATACACCCTGTATATCGTTTACAACTTTGGGAAGGTACAGATAACGCTATCTAACATCCACAGTTCTAGCGATATCTCTATAAAATCACAAGGACGTTAGTGCTAAGTCGTTAGGCTATGTCACTGGCCTGATAAATAGCTCGTTTAGCGCAATCATGGTATTTAAAACAACAGTAACGCAAAGCCAACGTAACGGCAAAGACAACGCTAACATGAAATATTGTCGATTGGTTGCTAGTTGAAGACTTATGACAGGACCAATCAGTAAATAACCTTAAACTAGAAGAATAAATGTACACATTAAAGACAAAGAACAGTACGAAAGTATAAAATCTGCTCTGTAAACTTAGGACGAAGTGGAGAAATGTGTCCATGAGTTGTATATTTGGTGATTTCAACGTATATGGAAGCCCTTTTCCCGATAATATTCGCTTATCGCGCAGAGTGACACCAACTGGTATAATAGTTCAAATGCAATGATAAGTTACCTCTTGAATTACGTCTCAGAAACTGTGTTGAAAATTTGAATGCTGACCCATTACATAAGATTACCGTTTTACATCGCGGTATAAAAATTTTGATCGCATGCCAAGGAATTATTCCTAACCCAGCGACATAGCCCAGAGACTTAACATTAACGTCCTTGTAATTTTATAGAGATAGAGCCAAAACTGAGAATTTTAGAAAGCGATAACGGCAACTTCCCAAAGTTGTAGACAAGATTTGTTGTTTACGTCCAATGCGCTTCAAATTACATAACTCAAAATGAGCAAAACGGTCTTTTGTTAACTGTAGAGACTGGGTCATAGGAATTAGTCATGATGAGTTATGCATTCATGTGTCATCATCCATCCGTGTCGTTGACAGTGGCGTGCTGGGTACTATTTTTCTGGGGGGGCCAGTGGGCTATCAACCAATATGCGCCCCTATAATGTGACGCTTGATAAACGAGGGCCGAAGGCACGAGCCGAGCGCCGCAGGTGCGAGGTTTTCCTAGGGGGTACGGGGGCATGCCCCCCCGGAAAATTTTTAAATTTAGAGTCTCTGAAATGCCATTTCCTGGACTTTGGGGGGAAGATTTGACAGAAATCTGATGGTCAGGAAACGAGATTATAACGAGTCGAAATTTGCAATTTGGTTAGAATTTCCGTAGAGGAACTTAAATTGGTACGGTATCAGTTTTACTATAAATCTTTATTTTAGATTAATTGTGGAGGAATAAAGTCACTCGTTGAGTATATTTGTATAAAATATTTTGATTTATAATAAACGCCGATCTCACTAATAACTTGTAATGTTTTACTAAAACGGTGTGCTTGCACTTTATTCATACGAATCTGTCATGTTTTTTGTCAAAACATACAAAAAGAGTTTTAAAATACTATACAGTATATCACTTGATAGTTAGTACTATTTTTCACGTGTTGTATCGAATGTTGATAACGTCAAGTATTGCCCATATCGATCGATCGATGTTCTCCAATGTCTTTAATGTTTCCATAACCATTGTCGATTTCTATAGCATTTCTAAACATTTTCATATAAGCGCCTTCGACAATTCTGATGTCAGACCTCCAAGGCGGTAATAATCTGCTTCTTTTTCAAAGACATTAAAATCTTCCGTTCAGTGCCGGTCATAAGTAGCAATGCTTCAAGTTTTTCTTGAGACAAAGACGAACGTGTGCGGGTTTGATTGGAATTGCAACTGCGATCGCGTAAACTTTACAAAGAGTTGGAAATGCATCAACTAGGTGGTAATCAGGATTCGACAAAATTCTCAGAGCTTCTAGAAATGATGGTTTTTCCTTGTCCTTTGGTTCTTCAGCAGTTCCGTCGTCGCTTGACTCGATGTCGGTTTCTTCTTCGTAGTCTTCGGTTTCAGATTCAGAACCGGAGTCTAAATCAGAATCTTTCTCTTCTTCTTTCGGTCTTCATGAAAAATCACTGAACACTTCGATTTTTGAAAAGATTCTGCAAAGTTGAGCAGTTCATCTGCACATCGGTGCGAGTCGATGTCAGTGGTACACCATGCCGTTTAAGGTTTCCTTGCCTGGCTGCCAAAAGGGCGCGCGTTTCAGCATTATCTTACTACTCACATTACTCGATGAGTTATGATGTTTCTTGTTCAAACAACTAAATTGTGTACACAACTTTACATTATCATAACTATCTAATTTGCGCCGCTCTCGTGATTCGTGAAACAATATAAAGGCATAATATAAGGGCATAATACAAGCAAAAAAGGGCATAATTCCCGTGATCGCTTCGAAACCTGGCCAATATTCCGGTAATGCGACATTGCGTGTGATCACTGATCATGTTTCTATATGAACGATTTCGTGTGAGGTAGCAATACTGGCTGGTTAGACAAAATAGTCTGTAATTTAATATATCACTTTGTCGCCTATGCGCTCAGTCTGTTTATAAGCCTATAAACACATTTTTTCTTGGTGGAAGTAACTATATTTTTTCAAATGCGTTTTTTTCCCACCCACTTTCAAAATTCGGCGCAGGATCGGCGCCCCCTTTTCATTTTTGCGCCCCCCAAAAATTGCCAGCTGGGGGGGCCATGGCCCCCCGGCCCCCCCCCTGCCAGCACGCCACTGGTCGTTGAACAAAGAAAAAGTTAATCGTGAAATTAGAGAAAATAAAATAGCAGTTTGCGAGAAAACGCAAGGTCTACGGAGCGGGAACTTTTCGGATTTGAACTCAGCGTGTTCGACAGTGTTAGTTCCGGTAAAAATATTTCAGTTCCAAGACATGCTCTACGGAAATCGTTTTCTAGGCACTTTTCAAGGCCACAGCAAACGGCCTACAACGTCTGTGTGCAGGCTACCTCAAATATGGCTTTTTTTAATTATGTGATTCAAAATCGGCTTCTTGTTCTTATTTCCTACTGACTAGTATTTAGCATTGATCAGCTGGTTGATTGCATTGTAGTGACATGCAGACAAACAGTGCATGCAGGCTGAAGTAGTTGACTACATTTCAAACAGTGAATCTCTATTCGCCACTTTTTAAAATTGTTAGCAACTTGATAGAATAGCATGCATGATATTGAAACAAGGTTTGTTAAAATCAATACTCAATAGTCAATTTGCACTCATGAACACTGTAGTGCTTACAAAAATGTTGCTTTGTGTTTATTGTTGCTATTCGTAAGTCGATTTGTTATAGGTTACATTTCAGCCTGAGTTAGTAGATGCTCCAAATACATGCAGTAAAACTAAAAATAGCGAAATAGTTCGCTACATTTTTTAAGCAGTAGCTGTAGTCAGTAGCGAACTACCTTTGTTCAAAAGTAGCAGTAGTTGTAGCCTGCATGGCAGGCGGTTCCTAAAATTGGGCAAGCCTGGGAAATTAGAATTTTTGAAGTACCTGTAGTTATAGCGAACTACAAAAATTTTGTAGTCAACCCACCCTTGCCTTCAAATGCAATAACCAACGGCAACTGTTTTCAAATTATCGCTCGCCCACGAAGGAAGTTTCTGATTGGAGAATTATGGTCACATGGGGACATATAACTGACACTAAGTAGGAAGTCTGTGCTTATTACTGATGTCAGCAAAAATTTGTTGATTTTGGATTCATGGATAAATATAGTCGATTAAATGCGATGTTTTGGGCCAATTTAATGTGGGAAATATTTCGGCTGTACTACATGTCAGGTTTACTTAAGCTGCTTGTTCGCCTGAAGAGATCGACTAACAAAATATAATGCCGCAAATGGAAAAGAATTGAATTCTTATTACAAATTAATTATAATACAATCAAACGTTTCGTTTCACAATTACTTAACTTAATTCTAGGTGTTATGAAAAGAAATATGCGTTTAAAGTTATCAATTTAGTAATTGACATAGCCTGTAAAACCGTTTTATCTGCACTGATGTAGGACTAAAATTTTCTACGTCCAATTTGTTTCATTATATTTGTACAAAATAGTTTTGAAGTAAATAGGTTAATTAATTAATGTACACTACAATTCAAAAACTAACTAAATATTCCTATGGTAAAGGCTAAATCATTAATCATGCTTTAGAAAGGGCGTGTGTGTGAATAGCCGACATACTTTTTTATTTAACTTGCGCGACGTTAACAGCATTGTGAATGAACGCTCTTCAATTTTAGTTTCAAAAGCTTCGTTATTCTGGGAGAATGAGCCAAATCCCAAGTAAACAAGCAAAGTTCATTTCCTACTAATGCATCTGGAAACCGACAGTAAATAATTCCCTTTTCACCGAGACATTCCCTTAGAGGTCTTCGCCTACCCATTGATGGTGATCGTGAAATATCATAAATAAAATATAATACAGTACTTTCTATAAATCAGCTTCTTTTAAAATTTCTTCACAAATCTTTTTATAAGCCCATGTATCACCTTTCAAGCGTTTCCGTCGAATACCTACAAAATAATTACGACTGATTAATCATTAATGATTACTTTACACCAAGTTCACTTGCCTATAAGACTACGTTCACAATACGCCGGAGCGGTTTGTAGACCGCGATGTGCCTGTCAATCAAATCTTCTATGTAGTAATTATGCCATAAATAATTTCCAGACTGAATGTCGTAACATGACAGGCGTAAATTAACGGTTCCTTATTGGATATATTTAATTTAATTGGATATAAGTAATGTTTATGCAAAGGCGGAGCCAACATGACAAGAGCGAAAAGTGGGCGTATTTCGTTTCTTGATGTGTTGTCGGCAGTCCCTCGCATGCCCTGGAACCTAACTCACGGAAAGGAGGGACCGCTCGCAGTCTAGAGCGGTTTAAGAATGGCGCGGAAAAGTCACATTTAGTCGTCGTGTTCAAACTACACCGGAGCGAAATTGTTTGAAGACGTCACTTTCGCCGTAACAATTTGAGCATGGTTTCTAAACGGAGAGAGATGAAAACGGAGCACTTGGCGGCTTCATTTAAACAGCGGGACCGGCTTTACCTTGCTCCACTTTACCATTTTTTATTATTTTTTAATTTAGCATATGTTTATTAACTTTTTATTATTATTTTTTAATTTTTTAATATTTTTCATTATTTGAGACGTAAAACGTAGCGTCATTATGTTCCTCCGGCGTAGTGCATGTGAACGTCCTGTAGTCTAAAATAACTTGGTTATGAAATGCAAATACAACAGTGAAACTGGAAGCGGGTTATTATATGTGCTACATCCAAATAATTATATAATAATCTGCAATCTGTCATTTCATTGACCAATAGCATGATCTATTCCAGGACAGAGGCACGATTTTTGTATTTGATGTAAGATATTTGTATTTTTTCCACCCTCAGGACTGCATTTCGTGCGTTTTCTGAAACTATATAGCGTTACATTATACTGTAGATGGACTGAATCTGCAGTTAAGTACTTCAAGTACTTGTATGGTATAGTTATGTATATACCCCAACTTGGTTACTAACTTGTTTAGCCTAGCCTATCTTTACCAGAAACTATGGGACAGCTGCTGTAATTTCATATAATTTGAAAGGAATAGCGCCCCCCGTTCCCCCAGTTCAATGTTGGGCCAAAAAAATCTGATGTCTGAATGCGCGGCGCCAACATTGAAACGGGTGGGGGGGGGGGGGTGGAAAATATGTATAAGGAAATGGTATATTACAACCGAATGCATGTGAAAACTAGATTGTCCCAATCTATATTGTCAAAGATTGTAGCCTTCCAACAACTCAAATCTATAGGGTCTGGGACATGCTATCCACTTGGAAATTTTTAAAATTTAAGGTATTTGCGACAATTAATGTTTAGCATTTTAAAAAAGACATTGAATCATTTGAAGATAAAGGACAGGATCGACATAAGATTCACTAAGCAAATTTCAGTTACTAGAGTAGCAAACTCCCTTCTAAGTTATGTTTTCTTCCAATGTTTTGCTTATACTTTCCAGAAAAGGGACTTTGACTGGGGGAGGAGCAAAATGGTTGAGTGAGGGGGGACCACGCGTGCTGGAGTGACTTTGATCCCTCAGTCGCATAGTTAAGAAAGACCCTGTTTTAAGGGCCTCGTGCACAGCTCTCTTACAAGCTACACGAACCCATACATAGGTAATGGATCACGCCAAATATGAACTGTAAATTTCTGTTGCGCGCTTCAAAAGCCCCAAAATATTACGGTACGACTTTAGTTTGGTTACGGTATTTGTATAGGTAATCACACGGGAAGGAGTGCAATTAATGATTAACACTACGAGTGATATTTGAAAAATGTGTCAAAATTGCACGAGCCGCCGGATTATTTATTCATTATATGCATGACAAAATCGATTTCTTTAAAATTCAACTGCATTTTGTCAAGAGTTTTTAATTCTTTTGTAAGCAATTTGGCATAAACAAACTTGGGAAATGATCATAAACTCATAAAGGCACATACTTTAAACTAGAACACATGATTCAAACTCAAACAACATATTTTGGAGTAAGAAAATCTTTATAAATTGTATTACAGACTTACGTAGTCGCGTTTCGCTGCATCCCGCCGAGATTATTGCTTAAAACTGTTTCCAGATATTTTCCAAAGGCTCTTTTTGCCATACTATGTTTTTTTAACTTATTCTTGTGCTAAAATTTAGTTAAATTCGTGCACGTTTGTTATTTATACAAGATAAATTTTACCGTCATATTGGATTTTTGTTGTTTTGATTTCCCGCTTCCCCCAGCATAAAATCATTAATTGCACTCCTGGAGAGTGCTATTAATGAAATAATTGCACTCCTCTTAACCAATCAGATTGCAGTAATTTTGTCATGTATGTAATAAATTCAGTTATAGATCCCAGCGGCTCATGGGCAATCTCTTTCTTCTTACCATGTTACGACGTCATTGTTTGTATCAATGACTGAATAAAAAACGGGAAAACGTAACCTAATTGTTTAACAGGGGCCGCTTGTTCAAAGGTGGAGTAACTCTCGGTTAAAATCAATACCCCCTTGTTTTGGTAATGGTTTGTGTATTTCTGTACGTCTGTTTATTTCAAAACTTCAAATAAGTAAACTCATATCGTTCAAACAACATTCCTGAAGAAACATTTCCAAATTTATATACAATTTTAGGTTAACCTAGGGTTAAGTTAATCGGGTTTCGAACAACCGATCCCAGTATTTCACTGACATTCGATCATTTTTTAACCAGACGGTTAGATAGAAAGCTGATTATCCTCATAACTCAATTGTAACAGGGTTTTTGACTACGAAACCCTGCATGCGAGCCGAAAAAGGTTTGAAGAAAAAAATTTTCAGCAACATCATTCCAAAGTATGCAATTGTTACAATAATTCTGAAGAGCGATTTTATTGGAATTGTGTTGCAATATATAAGTTTTCAAAAAATTTCTTACCTATTAATTCAAGTCTGGGAATTTCACAAACTTCTAATTCAAAATCTAGGACAATTTTGCCTCGTTCGTCTACGGTCTTGCAACGTATTGTATATCTAGAGAGGGTAGAAAATGTATATCAGAAAATGAGAGATAGCTAAGCATAACATGTGGTAGGTCGATCGGTTGCGTTGCATATCGTATTGTGATCGGGGGGGGGGGAGGGTGATATCAGCACGCATTTCCAGTAATCCATCAGACCAGTTAGGACAGTTCTATTCCTTTCCCCCCTCAAAAAACACATCTGTTTGGGATTGTCTTGATCATGCAAGTGAAAGTAATCAAAATGTTAGCGTGATAAATTATCATCTACAATCATCTAATTTTAATACCCAAGATAAGATCCATACGGATACGCAAGCATTATATTAAAAACAGTCTGATCGTTGCACTCTAAAAACAGATTGGTTAACAACCAATACATTGGTCATCTCAGACTTAAGTGAATATAAGACAACCAATTTATTACTTGTTTAACCAATTTGTTTTCAGATTGTGTAAACCTACCCACTCGATTTGTACATCCAGCCTTGTCGTTTTTCGATGACATTTTGTAATTCCTGTAGAACTTCGTCTGCTCCTTTACTCGTTGTCGTTGAAACGTTATAAAGAGCCTGTAATATAGTAACAAAAGTTTGTATTTTTTTGTATGAATAAAACCAGTTTACCACTTTGCGAATTTGTTAGCCCGCGTGCAGGCCCAAGGGAAGAATAGTGGGCCTGCAAGCAAGGCCCGGTATTTTGTAAAACGCCCCTTTTCATAACACGCCCCATTCGCGCGTCAATTGTCAAAAAAGAACCAATGACAGCAACCCAAATATTAACAATAAACTCGCATTAAAATGTTGCGGGGTTTTCTCTGCTTATTCAGAAGAGAAACAATGTGTAAATGACTGCGTTTTAACTCCAAAAAAGCAATCGGAACAGGCAAATTAGGACGAATTTCAACAGAAAACCAGTCTCAAACTTCAAATCGTGAGGGAAGTCGTGCGACCACATTAGCATTAATGTGTGCTTCGCTGTCGCCATTGTTATAAATAAATTGTCTCACTTATCAGATCGTGTGTGCAATTCTTGTTGGCGGCGGAAAGTACGAAATTTATTTCAGTTATTTCATTTGTTAAAGAACTCTACAAAAGAAGAGAGCGTTCAGAGTCCAGATCGTTTCGTTTCAAACGGCAATTACCGTCTTCTGTTTCGCTATCTCAGCGAAGCGTTGCAACTCGCAAAGTGTTTCGAATAGGCTTACATGCAACTGCCTTTAAATCTTCACCGCGAAAAGCGCTGTTTTCTTCAGTGCAAGAACAGAGTCAACATCAACCAAAAGATAACTTTCTTGAGGAACATAAAACGTATCAAGTCTGTTTGAAATTAATGAAACTCAAGTAAAGGTTACTATAGTTTACCCCAGTCGTAATGTTGCTATTCCAACACTTCACGACAAGCAATCCCCATTGGCATAACGGCAAAAACATCTCTTCCTTCAAGTAAACAATAAACAGTCTGTTCTTGACTTCTTGTTCCATTTTTAATCGAAAAAAGTGATCAATTTTCGAATTTAAAGCTTATCGAGAGCCTTTGTGATGAATCACTGATCTAATTATAGAATCCAACAGCAAACAGCCAATCAAAATGCCGCGTTCGTGGGCGAACGCGGAAAGTACAAAATACCGGGCCTTGCTTGCAGGCCCACTATTCTTCCCTTGGGCCTGCACGCGGGCTACGAATTTGTTCGTGCGAAGCCAAGCGAAAAACGAATTTCGGCTCTATGTGATACAATGGTTATTAAAAAATCACATTGAATTTTTTTTTTAGCTAAATTTGTTTTTCGCTTGGCACGACCAAATCGCTTATTGGTAAACGCTTTCCGCTCGTAGCGGCCGTAAAAGAATACATATATTATTAAAGGTAATGAAAAAGTAATCTACATTTATCTGTTATAAATAAGACCTTTCAAAGATTGTTTGATCATGTTAACAAACATGCATTTATATATACAGGAAAAATTTAAATTTCGATTAATGGAATGCATATATGTATATACTATCGATGTAAAATCTGAACTCATACTATTATTGGTTATTACAGATTTCCCATACGGTAAATTGGTAAAAAACCATGATGTTTAATATATACCATTAATAGTATTTTCACAGGAAAAAATAAAGTACCTTCAATGGTAAATTAAATTATATCAAACATCATGGATTTTGCCTAATTTGCCATATGCGAAATCTGTAACCAATAATGGTAAGAATACAGTTTTTATATTAAAAAAACCATCAATGCATGGAAATTTAATTTTTGTCCCCTGCATGTGATACAGTAGTAAAAATTAATGTACAAGCATGCACGTTAGCGTTCGCACACTTGCACATACTGCAAAATTCTCCTTGCGCTTATGATCAATTAACTCTGAATCGGTTAATCGACCAATCAACTAAGTAATTACTCAACCTTGTAATCAACTAACATAGCATAACACCATACCTTCACCTTTCTTGGGTGTGAACTTGTAGACCGTCTTGGCGTGAACACACCAATAAATCGATTAAGACCACCTTCAATACTGTCAAAAATAGTCTGAAAACAATACAGGAATTTTACATAACAAAATTATATAATGTATAACGTGCATAGAGTGGCTGCCCAAGTTGGTGAAAGAAGGAATGGGGGAGGTCCTGGAATTGACTTCATTCTTCTTCAAGAGAAATATTTTATCTTATCCAGACCTGATATGAAAGTTGAAACTCTTTGATGAGAGAGAAAGAGGGGGAGTAGGGGCTATAAAATACGAAAACAGCAATTTTTCGAAAAATATCTTCATGACAAAAATACCTTTCCTGTAGCCATGAAACACACACAATTATACGTTCCTAATAATATACATGAAAAAAATTCTCAATTCTGATTGGCTAAAGGCGGTTTTCCAGTCCTCGCACGAAGCTCCTCGCAGCTCGCTGCGAGTGCTTGCATCTAATTAAAATGACTGTTTAGCATTGTGATTGGATGAAAGTGCTCATGCATTACTCGCAGCGAGCTGCGAGGAGCTTCGTGCGAGGACTGAAAATCCGCCTTAAGAGCAGAGCAATTTCGAAATACAGTGCCAAAAAGTGAAGTGTAGTGCAGTGCAGTGCATAAAAAGAAATACAGTGCAAATTTCTTAATTTTTTAAATTTTCTTAATTTTCTTATTTTTTTTATTTTTCAAATTTCTTAATTTTCTTAATTTCTAAATGTGACATACGCACGTACGTGATTGCATATTTTTTTCTTGTATATTATTAATAAGTGATAGTATGGTTGTCTCGTGGACTTTGAAAGAACATACACTCGTGAGTTTTTCAAAGACTTCAAATTGATAGTCTTTGAAAAACTCAATTGTGCATTTTTTTTTTTCAAATTGCACTCGAAACCATAGTATACTATTACCTATACATAGTGCACAAATAGAAAAAATCTTGGGGAATGGAACTAGGCTCAAGGAGGCTGAGCCATACTTGTTTATAAGTTTTTGAGTCAACATCTTTTGCAGTGTAGCTTACTTTAGCGCACTTTTGGAGCCCTGTGAGAAACAAGCTTTTGTACATGCAATGACAGGAAGAGTATAGAAAATGTGTTAAACCTTCGACGTATGAAACGAAAGAGGGCTATTACCATGAAATAAAATTCAACAGGCAATGAATACCAACCCTTTGACTAAACCTTCGAGATGACGCCGATTTCGATTGTTGACGAGGAGTGCCATTCATCCAGGGTCCTCGGTCAAGGTTGCGGTCTAGAGACTGGGACCATCTATAATAAGGTAAAATAGCTAAACATTTAGCATGAATTTCAGCCGCCCATTTGAGCTGATCTCAGCCTCCACAAACGAACTTTGATGTTCATTTAACTGAACAAGTTTTTTTTTTTTTTTTTTTT